CAGAGTGCTGCTGGCTGCTGCCCACAAACAATCTATTCCCTTCTTACAAGCACTCTGCTGCCTGTTCTACTGGGAAAGGCGCTATGAAACTGACAACTGTCTGCCATCCAGTAGGAAGGAGATGTGGGATTGGAGTGCCTGTCTCCCAGGTGTCAAATCCCTCCTCCCATACACAGGGAGGATGGTGTTTTCTGCTGACATCCTGTGTGTGTTTCCAGGAATCTCCTTCAGGCCTGGCACGGCTCCATACACTGTCGGCCACAACCTAATAAAGGCTCACGCTGAGGCTTGGCATCTCTACAATGACAAGTACCGTGCCAGCCAGGGAGGCGTGATTTCCATCACCATCAGCAGTGACTGGGCTGAGCCCAGGGATCCCTCCAAGCAGGAGGACGTGGAGGCTGCCAGGAGGAACGTCCAGGTGTGTCCTCTGGCTATCTTCTCTCCCACTGTGCTCTGAAAGAAGTAGATGGAGACCAGGAATAGAAGATTTAGATCTAAACCAGTTTTGTTCTTACTTGATTTTGTGATCCTGAGGGGAAATGATCAACTGTTCTGTTCTTCAGGTTTTTCTTCTGAGAATTAGCTGTTTTCTTCTCAGACATTTGCTGTGACAAAGGGGATGAGTTTTAAGAGACTGAGTGTTTTTTAAATATGTTCTTCTTATCATCATCATCATTATTATTATTATTATCAATTTGGTTTTTGGATTCAGGGTTTCTGTGTGTCACCCTGACTGTTCTGGAACTTAATTTGTAGACCAGGTTAACCTGGAATTCACAGAGATCTTCCTGCCTCTTCCCCTAGAGTGCTGGAATTAAAGGTGTGTGCCACTACCTCCTGATTTATTTTACTTTTAATTCTGTGTATGCATGTGTGCCAGTGAGTGCAGGAGCCTGTGGAGGTCAGAAAATGGCATCAGATTTCCAGGAATGGTTGTGAGCCACATGACCAGGCAGGCTACTGGGCACCAAATTTGAGTCCTCTGGAGAGCAGCAACTTTCATTGAAAATTGAACCTTCTCTCCAGTGAGTGACTGAGTTTTACATCTTAAAAAAATTGCCAGTGTGTTAGCCAGATGGCTCGGTGGCTGAAGGTGCTTGCCAATCCAAACTTGGTGACATAAATTCTATCTTCAGAACCCATGTAAATATGAAGGAGATGTGGCTGGAGAGATGGCTTAGCAGTTAAGAGCACTAGGTCCTAAGTCCAATTCCCAGGAACTGCATGGTGCCTTGCAATCTTCCATAGTGGGATCTGTTGCCCTCTTCACACACAAAGAAATACAGCAGACTGAGCACTCATACACATTTAAAAAAAATCTGGGGAAAAAAATCAGATCTTTTTTGTTTTGTTTTTCAAGAAAGGATTTCTCTATATAGCTTTGGGGCCTGTCCTGAACTCACTCGGTATATCTGATTGGCCTCAAACTTAAAGAGATCCACCTGCCTCTGCTTCCAAAGTACTGGGATTACAGGTGTGTGCCACTACCACCCAGAAATATAAGTTCTCTGTAGGGTGGAGAAATGACTCATCAATTAAGAACACTGTCTGCTCTTCCAGAGGACCTGGGATTAATCCCCAGCAACCACATGACAGCTCACAAATGTCTATAACTCCTGTTCTTGAGGATCTGAAACCATCACACAGACATACATGCAGGCAAACACCAATGGACATAAAATAAATTTAAAAAGAAGGAAAGATGAAGAGAAGAGACTCCACAGAGTTGTTTTCTGACCTTCATTTGTCCACCGTGGCACCCACCTCCACTCCACCTCATACACACAGATGTGCACACCTCAGCTGCTGCTGCCACCTCCACCTCCACCAACGCCACCTCCACAGCTAATGATGATAAGTTAGGCAAATTGTACAGTGCTGGGGAGGAAACTCATTGGTTGCATGCTTGCTTAGCATGCATGGAGCCTGAGGTTCTGTCCTCAACTCTGCATGAGCCTGGTGGTGGTGATGCGTGCCTGTGAGCCTAGCACTTTGGAGACTGAAGCACGGGCATCCTTGGCTACACAGCAAGTTTGAGGCATGCCTGTGCTATAGTGAGACCTTGTCATATGTAGGCCTCACTGGATGCAGCACTGACTTGATCCTAATTTCTTCCACTATAACTTCCTGCTTTGCCTACAGTAGCTGTAGCCATCACCTCTGGGTACCAAGAGTTCCTTAAATTCTGAGGAACTCGAGTGCCCCTGTTTTCTAATTCTCAGAATAAGGATGTCCTTATACAGCCCCTGGAAGTCTACATTATAGTAAGCAGATGCCAGCAGGAAACAGTCATGTTCAGTGAAGACCCCTGACAGGAGGGAGAGAGTGACCCCGATGGTACAGCCTCCCCTAGCCTGCTGGTGCCAGGGAGAGGTGAGATGCCTCCCTCCCATGTCAGTTTCAACAGAGATTTACCCCCTCACAGTTCATGGGAGGCTGGTTTGCACACCCCATCTTCAAAAACGGAGATTACCCGGAGGTGATGAAGACACGGATCCTTGAAAGGAGCCTGGC